CTCTCTCTCTCTCTCTCTCTCTCTCTCTCTCTCTCTCTCTCTCTCTCTCAGTGTTGGAGCTGTCATCAGCCCCGAGACTTAGTGGGGAAGTGATTTGTGACTCCAGTCAAGAACATGGTGGTATGTAGCCGATCAAGATGGCCATGAAGAGACTGAGAAAGGAGCCTCCAAACCATTGTGCTCTAGTTTTAAAATGAAGTGTGGTGTTTCTTCAACAGTATCTCCTACTCACCTGTGAGTATTCCAGATTCACTTTGCTAGAATTTCTTCAAATACAGTGGTGCCATCAGAATAGCTTCCTATAGCACTGGCTTTTGTGATCTTGATCCCCAGAACACAAGTACAGGCTTTTTTCAGGTGGCGGGGCAGAGCGGGGGTCCCTCTCCATTAAATGCCATGCAGTATGCTGTGTTTTTAGATGGGCTTGTAAAATCAAGAATTAACTAAGGGATACTTCTCTTTTTATTAGTGTTAGTAACAAAGTTTAGATTTAAGTAGAAAAGGCATAAAAATATTCATAGTAAGATGGCATTTTTTTAAAAGATTTCATTTATTTATTTATTTATTTGACAGCAAGAACAAGCAGGGGGAGCAGCAGAGGGAGAGGGAGAAGCAGCCCTCCCCGTCCCCCACTGAGCAAGGAGCCCGTCATGGGGCTCGATTCCAGGACCCCGGGAGTATGAGCTGAGCTGAACCGAGTGAACCACCCAGGTGCCCTGTGAGATGGCAGTTTTAAAACATTGAATTTGGGTACCTGCCTTTTATGTCCAGAACAAGTTTCTTAAGGAGGCACAGAATAAAAGGGAATAGAAGGAGAGAAGAGGGTAGTGCCCAAGAGAAGCCTTAGCTCCTGGATGCTCCTCTGCCAGGTTTCTGATTGTGCCTATTCCCTGGCATTGTTCTGGAAGCCCCGGCCCTTACCTCCTGTGGGGCCCATGGAATGTCTCTTGCTGAATTGCTGCTGGGGGCCTGCCATGTGACAGGTATGGAATGAGGTCATCTTTTCCCACCTCTAATTTCTGAAGGGTGTGTCTGTCCAGTTATTACTTGTTCATTGAACTTAAAGGTTTAGAAACCAGCAGCTATAGTACAAGCTGTAATTATTGATGTCTGTTTCATATTCATCTCTAAGTTCTGGCATTTGATCAAGAAGTTAATATATCACTTCATCTTCAGGCTGAATGTGCCTCTGCTATAAACATTTTATTGTTTGATGGATAGTGTATAATTATGACTGCCCAGAATAAAAAGTTTTCATTTGTAATGTGGTAATACTAGAAGAAGTAATTAAGAATGTCACAAGGAATAGTGAAACAATGAAGCCTTGGATTGCTGTGAATTCCTCCCTACATAACACCTGAGAAACGTTTACTGAGCACCTACTGTATGTCAGATAGCACACTAACTCTTGTGGTTCCACAGATGAGTCAGCACTATCTGATGGGAAATGTAGGTAACCCATGTTCTGGACAACTTGATTTTAGGTGGGATATTAGAAAATCAGTGACTTTTTCTTTTCCAAATACGAAGGAATCATCTACATGTAATAAGTAACTTAGAAAAATTGAGTCACATGGGTGGGTAGGCCTTCGCTCCCCCAGGCTGGAGTTTCCTAGCTGGGCAGCTAGCTACAGTCTGTCACTAGCTTAGTGACTGATCCATGTGTGCGCACCTCACAGGGAGTGGGGTTGACACCCTGACTTTATTTCCCCGACTTGCTACAGAGGTGAGGGTCGTTGACGGGGTCAGATTCAGGAATGAATGCAGCTGTTTTTGCACAATACTTGGTAATTTCTTAGACTATGTCAACATGTCCTCTGTGTTAGAATGGCTGTATCATAGTGTCTGTCCATGTGAGGGTGACGTTAACTACTGCAACAAATAGGCCCCCAAAATAATGATGACTCAACACCGTAGAAGTTTACTTCTTGGTCATGGGACAAAGGAAGTCCTGTCAGTGTGGCCACTCAGAGACCCAGGCCGACGGCAACTCTCACCTTCTTTCCCTAGTAACCCTGGTGTCACCATCTCAGTGAACCGGAAGGGAAAAGAGCATGGGAGGGCACTCATGGGAAGTCTGGGGCCTGGCCTGGAAGTGGAACCCATTACTTGTCATTTTGCACTGGCAGGAACTTCATTAGTTCACCACACTTAACCACAACAGAGGCTGTGAAGTGTAGACTGGCTGTTTCCCAAGAAGAAGAGGAGAGAGATTTTAGCAAATACCTAGCAGTGTTTGCCATCTTGCCTCGGTCACATCAGACCTTGACTTGGAGGCGTAGCTAAGTTCTGCTGAGGCATGATGTTGAAGAGTGCTGACCGCTCTTTGTGATTTGACGTAGGCATTCTTACTTGGATGTGTTGACAGAGCTAATCAAAATAGCCACTCAGTTACCAGGTAATGTGCATGGTAGAGGTCCCAAGGATCTAGTGTGATGTATAGGTGCTGAAATAGAATTATATGATCAGTGAGGGCTCAAATGAGAATGTAATTGCCACCCACGGAAAGTCAATCGAGGCTTCATGGAAGAGGCAATGTTTAGTAGAAGTCAAAACGGGTAATTGGGACTTCAGCCGGGAGACACAGTTGAAGCATGAGGATCCCAGGCAGGAGGAGCAGTGTGGCACAGTGGGGGCAGAGCGAGGAGTTCAGCAGCAGGGTAGGATGGAGTTTGGAGGTCGAGCAGCTGAGCGACGACGCTGGAGAGGGTGGCTGGAACCCACTTGCACAGTTTGTGAGACATGCTAGGAAGGTTGGACTGAGTGTAGGGAGTGAGGGGACATTGACACGTATTAAGCAAGAAATGTGCAAACTCACGTAGAGGAATGGTGGGTTGGAAGGCAAAACAAAAGTGGCCGGTTAGGTGGTTTCAGTAGCCCAGGGAAGAAATGAAGAGAACCTAAACCAGGCTGTGGGCATTGAGAACAGGAACCCCGGAGGTGTTCAGGCAGCAGACCTGACAAGACGCGGTGACTGCATGGGGTAGGAGGGGCGCGGGGAGGGTTGGGTGCCTCTGGATGGTGATGTGGAGTGAGGAGGGAAGTTGGAGAGCCGGTAATGTAGGTCATATTTAGCATTTTAGTCCCATTTAGTCATGCTAAGCCCAACATTTTGTAGTAAGTCATCTTTAGTGATGTAGACTGTGGAATCCCACTGTGTCGAGGTACCTGTGGATGCTGCTGAGCCACCAGGCAAGATAACAGTGGGGGGGCAGCCCTTTGAGACAGCATCAGAGGGCCCTGGGATCTTGGCCAAATCCAGGATCAAGGCGTGATCACAATAGACAGTGACTTTGTTCCAGTTTCCTAGAAGGGATGTCTCATATGTCTTGTGGAAGTTATTTTTAAAGGTGTGTGCTTCTGGAAGAACCTGTAAGGGAGGGAGGGAAGCTGATGTGGAAGGGAAAGAGCCAGTCGAGCCTTAGATCTGTGACCCCCACCCCCCGCAGCAAAAGAGCCAGCCTCTCCTGCTCCCATTGGGTCAGTCAGGGGCTGTGGGCTGCCCTTGGGGTGGAGGGCCATAACTTCCCTGGGCAAGGTGGCCTCCCTCATGGTGAGCAGTCCTCCAGAAAGGGGGACCTGTTAGCAGCCTAAATAGCAGCTGGGGATGGGTACACTGACGCAGTAATGGGGAGATAATGGGAGTGTGAATACGTCTGCGGGTACATGCACAGACAATCCCGGTCGTGGCTTGGGTCCAGGTCTCCAAGTGGTATGGGGTTGTGGACCAGAAGCCTGGAGGATGTAAATAATCCACACCTCGCCTGATGTCATGAGTAAATGTGAATTGATGTGACCGATTGTGCTACATGGAAGCCTACTGGATTTGAAATCCTAAGTGTTGGGAGTGTTGATTCCAAGAATGAACTAAACCCTTTAATTTTGATAACCATCTCTGAGATAGTATGAAAACTAGTGAGCTGTTTAAAGATTTAAAAAACTCATCATCAACCTACAGCCGTGCATACAGCAGGTGCTGTTCAGACAGTGGAAAAGGAGTAAAAATTAAACCTACTATTACAGGATATGTGCTTAAATATATAGGTAAATATCTATAGATAGATACATAAATACAGTTATAAACAGAGGAGTAACTTCTGAAATAAGTTCCATGGAATCTTGTCCCATAAAGGAAAACAGATTTGTGTGGTCAAATATGGGAAATATTGCAGCTGTTGTCTCAGTGCACGTCATCAGCACATTAAGGGCTCTGAGAAGTCAGTAAACTCTGCTGATAGCACAGTGCTTATTAGTTTTTGTTTAAAAATATGTGGGGTTTTTTAACCATTTATTAACAATCCACACATTTAGTTGCAACACCCCGAGAAATACAAATCTAACTGTATAATAGCTATGGAATGGTAACATTTTAGACTAACAGCTCTCTTGTTCTGGGAACTTTGGGAAGAGGCTGTGTGCATTCCCAGCTCTGTGTTTGTGCTGAACTCCTCCCATCCCGATCTAGCAGAACCCATCCTTTATTTGAGGCTCACCTTAAATTCTCATATTCCCAAGGTTTCCTTGACCTCTTCCTCCAAGGTATGGAAATCACATCCTTGGAAACCCTATATTATGTAGCTTTCCAAGTCCAACCCAGACCTACTGAATTACTATGTGGTTTGGAACTTTTGTTTTAAACCTCTCAGCTGATGCTCATGCCCAGCAGCTAGCTGGGCATTTCAGGCCAACATTTTGTGTGGATAAAAGGATGGATGGATGGATGGGTGGGTGGGTGGGTGGATGAATGGGTGGGTGGATGGGTGGGTGGGTGGGTGGGTGGATGGGTGGGTGGATAGATAAATACATGCATACCTGATCCTTCCTGTTAAACGATTTGAAATCCTGTCTTGATGTTCTTACTAAATCCTCATGACTGATTGAGAACAGAAACCTTGGAACTTTTGTTCCAAGGAAATGTTCTACTGAATATTTTTTAAAACTCTGAGAATTCAGTGTTGTCTATGCTCCTGCCTTAAAGAAACGCCTTAATTCTTCATATATCACAGAAAAGTCTAGCAGGTTGAGAAGCTAACATGTTCTCATTACTCTTTTCATACAGTGCTCCTGGAAGCCAAACACAACACACCCATTTTATAGATGAGGAAACAGCTGCCGGGACCTTTAAGAGAGAACTCGAAAGCCATACATTTAGCATAAACGATCAGGATTAGACCCAGGCCAGGCCTTTGCTCTTTCTCCCCATTCCAGTGATTCTCAAAGTGTGAGCAGGCACC